CCTTCAAAAAGACGTTCGAAAAGTTACAAACCATAGGGATTGTAAAAACTGTAGGATCAATATCCATGTTCCTATTCACTCAAAGATTAGAAAACAAGATTTATGCATATAAGATTTCCCTAAGTTAACATTCTACAAACAAATCTTAATTTCATTTTTGGTGAATGAAAGGTTACAATTTTGTTTTCACAGTTAATGATTGCACTGAATTTCTCTAGCTAACTCATACCTAAAATAATATCAAATCCTGAAAAATCTAAAAGTATGAGATTCACTAACAGTTCTGTTCTCGAGGCTTTTATCTTATAGTTTTTATACACACAATGAGCTTCTAAAAGTTCTCTAGAAGGATTTTATACTGCTGATACTTCATTCAAATATTCAAGCTTAATATCTAATTTACACGCAAAAGAACAAGAAACGAATGAGTGGGTAGTACCTATATCAATCAAATCTCGGGCAGTGATATCATGGATAGAAAACATACCCTGAATAACAACAGGAGTGGTGAGGGCACCAGGCTCATTGAGATGATATACACGTCCCTGGGCTACAATTCTAGTCATGCTCTTTTCTTCGCTGAGGACAATACCTCACGAAGTGCTAAGTACTCTCACATTTGTAGTAGGAGTTGTTTAGACGTCGATAGGACTAATCACCATGAAAGCGCCCATAATGCTGACATGGCTGAGTAGGTCAGGCGTTATTTCTAGTAGGGGGTAAGGCAAGAGGAGCGGCAACTTGGGGTCTCTTATCGAGGTAGCTGTTGACAGGGTCTGACAACCTTCTTTTTTATTGTTGGGATTGGTACTGTTGCTGCTGAGTGCAGACTCAGATAATGCGTTAGTGCTGGGCTGAGATAAGGTCTTCTACCAACTTTGTATGTTCAAGCACCTCAGCATAGGAGCTGGTCCTCAGCATCACTACTTGGTTATAGATATCTGCTCGAAGGCCTTTCAAAAACTTCTTGGCCTTTTGACTCTCTAGGTTGACCATCAAAGAGCCAAATCTAGACAATTGGGTAAATCAAGCTACATATTGGGCAATTGTCATATTCCCCTAGCGAAGGTCATAAAATTCCTCTTTTTTCTTCTCTCAGACGTATATAAGGAAAAAGTTATCAAAGAAGGCATCCATGAAAACTTTCCAAGTGGTAGGGGAGGGTTAGACATCTTTCTTAAGCCATCACTAGTGCTTGACTTCACCGGTTAGCATCAAGGCTGTGAGGGGGACTTTTGTTCTTCAATTAGATCTAGGACAGAGAAAAGCTTTTCTAGTTGTAGGATCTAGGCTTCTGAAGCTAAGGGGTCGGGGCCTCCTTCGAAGTGGGGTGGTTAAGTCTCCTAAACTCGGCAAGGTTGTGGGATATAGATCTTTCAGCTAGGCGGTAGTCGAAGGCAAGAGGGTGTTGATAGTGGTTTGCTTAGTTTTGACCTACTACTATGGTTAGACCCTGAATGGCTCAGAAAAACTAGGTAAACTCAACTCTGGTCGGTGGATCCTAGGCCTCAGGTCGTTCAGTTCTTTTCAAAGAAAGTGTCCCTCGAGTAATTTTGTTCCTATAAAAGAAAAAGGGAGAGAACGAGTCGGTGGATTATTTTTAAGAAGGAAGTGTCCTAAGTATCTAGAGTGGTTTTTCCTAAACTAAAGCCTTAGTGTAAGGGATTATTCTACATAATTGCTCTAATACCATTTATGATATCCCAGATACTAATTAAAATATAAGGGAGCCAAATACAGAAACAGATAAAAGTATATTAAAATATTTATATGCAGCAGAATAAATATATTACAATCCCTTACAAAATAAAATTTGAGTTCCAAATCTTACAATACTGAGGCAATACAAAAATAAATACAGGTCTCTCAAAAAGTTGGACTCATTAGAGTATGGAACAAAATATGAACTTATAATGATTCACGAATTCATGGGATCCTCGAATGCTTTAATGGGTAAGTCAATGAGCATTTCCTCACTATCATGCCATCATATTCATTTCGTTTACTTATTTACTTGTTAGAATGATACTAGCATGTAATGTCATGGAATATACATGTAAATATATTAAAGACATAGCAATAATTAAACATATAAACCATCATATATTCATGCAATACTTCCTTTATAAAATACTCCTCAAAACATACAAATAAATACCAAGTTTTCTTGCCGAAACCTTGAAGTTTTTCCTACACTCCTCTTCCTTTTATTCTTTCCTCCTCTCTCTCTAGCTCTCTCTCTCTCTCGCTCTCTCGAATTGCTTTAGTGAATGGAAGAAAGAAGATGAGGTGATAAAGGAGTGGTGGGGAGGGTCCCTATTGATAAAAAAGGAAACTGTTAGATTTATGCAAAGTAGCACAAATCCATGAAGAGAGAGGGAGGAAAAAAAGTAACTGATGCGATGCAATGACTAACAGATGTGATTGATGGATGACCGACAAGATGACAGTGACGCGACAACAGCACAAAGACTGAGGGCGTTGGCCAAGGGCAGCGCGCGCAGCTGCGCAATGTTGCACATCGTCTGCATGTGATGTGACATGTCTGCAATCTACACTCCTCGTGCCCCACGCAGATGGGACGTGCGCACAAGCACTCGTCCGATTGGCCGTGCGTAGGAAGGGGAAATTTTTTTGCATCCTTTCTACGGAATTTCTCCACCATTTCTTCTCTGTTTTTCCTGAAATTAACAATTCTCATAATATTTTCATTAAATAAACAAAATATAAAAATTCCTAAATAAAAAATAAAATAAATAAATGAAAACCCAAAATTATACGAGAACTGAAAACATAATTTTAAATAATCAACGGCCTTAGGCCTCGAATAAATAGAGATTTTACACAATAACTAAGTGAGAAAGTTTCGAGGTGTTACAGAATTACCCTATCCACCATTACCTAAGGTCAACGTAGAGGGTTAAACCCACACATACTTCAAATTATCAATGTTAAATTCAACATGCATTTCGTGTTTATAGAACACTATCAACACATATCCTCATTCATATCAAATAGCTAATAAATCATGTTTCAAATTCATGCATCAAAATAATTGAAAATCACAATTTAATCATCTAGAAACTCACTTAGAAATATATAAGAAAATACTCAAGAAAGTCCTCACCAAAATCTTTAAGCTTTTCAAGTTTTGTTTGGTTTTTGGGAGGAGAATGAAGATTATTTGGTAAAATCCTTGCGTTTAGTAGTTCTCAAGCAAAGTTTGAAGGCATTTGGAGCCTCTTTCTCCTTTTTCTCTCTAAACTCTCTTTCTTTCTCTTTTTTTCTCTTTAAAATTTTTTCTCTCCCTAAACGTTTTTCCTCTCTCTAAACTCTCTCCGTTAAGTGAAGGAGAGGAGAAATAGATGGGAATGGGGAGGAAAGTGAAGGGGAAGGGCTTTAAATAGCCATGGCAGCATGCATTGTGGACATGTGGCAGAGGATAAAGGGATGCAGCTGCGACAGTGACTGATAGGATGGCTGATCGGCCTGAGCAATGAACAGGATGCGCATTGACAGGGTGTAGGCTGGCAGTGCTGTGCACAATCACTTGCGCGTGCGGGCACGCAGACACGCTTGATGTGACCCTACGAGCTACATGCAACGTGATATGTACGCAATCATTTGTGACAAAGCACTGTGAGCAACGCATAGTCCTCGCAGGCTCGTGCAGACTCTGCCTCACTTGTGCAAAGCGGATCCGCAAGCACACGGGCACGCGGGTGCATGGGTTCGCAGGTTGTTTATGCGGTTAACTGGGTTTTTCCTACGCAGTTTATCTTCTTTTTAATTTTCTTTCATTTTTCTTGAAGTTTAAATAATTTTTAGCTAATAATAATAATAAATAAAATTCAATAAGATAAATACCATAAATTAATAAAACAAATAATTAAAAATTAAAATATGTTCAAGAGAAATAAATTCTGAATACCGTCAAATATTCAAATTCAATGTTAGAGGGCGTATGGACCAAAAACATGAATTTTAAAAACCCGGCTTTTAAACACAAAGGTTTTGTTTTGTTACACAAAGCCTTATATACAAAGTTTGTTGGCTTGGTTGAAAAAGATTATTTTTAATTCTAAAAATTTCCTAATTTTTCTAAATATAAACTTTGGACCTCAGTCTAACGGATGTTCTAAAAATCATGCTCTAATATCAATTGTGACATCCCAATACTTGGTGGGGTAAAAAAGAACCTAATAACATAATAGATATGAGTGCATAAAAATAAATAAATATATGCAGCAAAAAATATCATCAGTTATAAAAATTAGAGTTTCAAATTTTACATATGAGGCCAAGATGATGGTTGCCAAAATACATACATACACAAGAGTTTATGAAGAGCTACTTCTTCCATTATAAGAGTATTTCATCAGAGTGCAGACAAATAATGCACTTGAATTCCTCCTAAAGATCCAAGAACGGATGCAAAGAAGCTTCAATGTATAACTCTGCGAGTGAATCATCACTTCCAACATCATTTGAGGGGGGACATAAATTGAGGTGAGTTCCAAATAAGTCAGTAAGGGAAATAGTATTTAAACTGAACTACAAGGATTTTCAAAGGTTATTTAATTTCTCAACTTTTTATTATCATAAAAACAAGTGACTTACCTCTTAAACTTATCGCATAACATGTTCATTTGAAATATTGAGAAAATATTTACTTTTCTTTTAAATTAAATCAGAAACATCGGTATTTAAATCACAATAGGAATTAAAGATAGAGTAGTGCAATATATTAGAGTTAATGATACAATGAGGTAATGTAACATAAACTAGTTGAACCAACAAAAAGCATGGCATTGTCATGACTGAATAGTGAGAAACACATTCATTTCAAGAGAAACCACAAAGGCATGGAAAATCAATCAATTATTCTAGCTATGTTATCAAATGATTTTATTTACGTCTTTTACATATCTTCATGCGAAACTGTGCTAACTTATATTAGCTGATGGTAGAAGGGATCCCCTACTACCATTGTGAATGGACAAATAGATTCATTTCAATATCAGATAGTTCAGAGATAAACTAATGACCACAACTGTACTTCACCACTATGGCCTCCTACAGAATAGATAAAACTAATGCCATAGTAGTACTTTGCCATTGTAGTCCCTATAGTCAATTGTGAATCCACTTTCATCAGAGAGATCCCAAGTACCATTCAAAATGAGTTGTTCACCAACAGATTCAGATAGAGATACAAAAATAGAAACAGAAAACCCCCGACAATAACTGTCAAATAGATTTTCAATTCTTTCCTCTTTCTTTACTGATTCCAATTTATAAATAATCATGAATTTAGAACCTGGTGGGGGTCCAATAAACATATCTTAGCCTAAAGAGGCCTTTATACCCAATTTTGCCATCGGGTCATCTTCTCGAGTTGAAGCTCAATAGAATTACCTCTCCACTATCACTCAAGGGTAAAGTAGAGGGCCAAATCTGCATATACATAAAGTATCATCAAAGTTCGATTAAACATACATCTTCATTTTTAAGAGAAACTACTAACATAAATATATTCACTCGTATCATATAGTTGATAAACAATGTTTAATTTCATGCATCAAGACAAATTAATAGTCATAAATGAATTATCTAAAAATTCACTTAGAAATGTATGAGAAAATACTTAAGAAATCCCTTACTGAAACTATTAGTGCTTTTTGAAGTCCTACGAAAAACAATGGAAAGATTGCTCAGCGATTCGTAAACCGTACGAAGGAAATTCAAACTCCCAGTCTCCCTTGATTTTCTCACAAATTGTTTCCTTAAATTCTCTCTAGAAATTGGGGAAGAAGAAATGTGTGAATTTAGAGGGAAACGAGGGCCCTTCAAATAGAATTTCTAAGCGAACAGGGGTTGTCAAATTATATGGGTGATTAGTGGCCAGCGATCAGCTAAGTGACCGACCGACCACCACATATGGCGTGCAGGTACCCCATGTATGTCAATCAGTTAAAACAAGTGACCACGCATGGAGCTGTGTGCACACTGTCAGGTCGACATGACAACCTACACGTGTCTGCACTGTGATGTCTGCAACGTGACAGCCCCGTGTGCGCAACTAGCGCATGGGCTCACAGGCTTGAGGGGTTTTTTTACAGCAATTTTTTCTTTTTTTATTTTTCTTGAAAATTTTCAAAAAATTTCATAAAAGTAAATAATTTAAAAATTAAATTCAAATAAAGCCAAATCTAAATATAATTTTAAATACTGATTCAAAATCATAAAGTTAAAAAACACGACATTTGGATATAGAGGTTTCAAGGTGTTAGATAAACTAAGTCCTCATTTATGGGACCGTTTGAAGTACTGTAACACTTTATCTTGTGCCTTACCATCATGCTTTATCACTCGAGTTTATTAGTCTTTATGATGTCTTCCATGACTCAATGCTCCAGAAGTATCACCATGATCCCTCCCATATCATTCCTCACCAATGACTCCTAGTGCGATTATATATGACCTACTCGGAGTATCTTATCGAAATCATCAATTAACAAGAGAGAGTCTCAGGTCCCCATAGTCAAGATTGTCTGGCAGTATCACTAACTATACGAAGCTACTTTAGAACTTGAAGACGAGATGTTGGACAAGTATCAAAAACTATTTTAAATTTTAAATTCGGAGGACCAAATTTTAAAAGGAAGGGAGCATAACAACCCTCATTCTGTTATCCAAAAACATTCAAAGCATTTCAATTTATTTTGTTTTAGAAATTATTTATTTTATGTTTTTGTAAAATTTAAAAATATTTAAATGCAAAAAAATCACCCAAAGTTTCAAAAAAACTCGTAGAATTCAAAAACCCCCGGACATGCCTCATGGCTCACATGTGAAGAGACTTCCCTACATGTGGACACCAGCCTTGCAGACACACGGGTTCGTCCTACGAAGTGATTTTCCTTGCATGCGAGCAATGCTTACGAGAGGCATGTGCCGCGAGCACAACATGTGGGAAAAACCAGCAAGGCACATGCGAGTTTTTCTCTGGCCGCGCAATAGGCCATGCGTGCACCAGCAGACATAGGCAGGTTTTACCTGAGTTTCACTAGCTAGCAGACTGCCCCCTTACAAGCCATCACCTTCACTGCACCTTCTCTCCACCACATGGAGAACGCATTCAAGTCGAGCCAGGTTGGTCAACCACTCAATTAATGACTAGTTTCATCTGTATGTGATCCGAAAAATCACTTAACTCCTCCCTCGCCTATTTAAACTTCTTATTTTCTTCATTTTCTTTCATTCTTTAAAGAGATAAAACCTACGAGAATTGAGAGCATTTCGGTGACGAATTTAAGTGATTTTTGATAGAAGGTCACGAGGTTTTTGCTATTGCATCCTCTTATATTGTTGCAAGCTTTCTATTTTGTCTGTCTTTTCTTCTCCGAGAGGTAAGACTCATTCCCTTACTTCTTTATTTTCCCTTCTTAGATTCTTCTTTTAGCAATCATTTCTCTCACATAATCTCTTTTTTTCATGAATTAAAATAACGACTTCTATTTTTTGGAAGTAGATCTCCACCTCTTCTATAACTTCTTCGTTTGTCTTAGGAACCCTTTCCATTTGTTTAAAGATAAGAAAAAACAACTTTAACTTTGGTAAAGAATGAAATAGTATTTTGATGCTTTTAACAGGACTTGTAGATATTTTTTATGGTTAAAACATTTAAAGTTGCATGCATGCTTACTTATGGTTTCGGTGATATATGTTCATATTCGAGGAGATCTTTTAATTGTTTGATTATTTTTAAATGCTAAATAAAGATTGCATGTGAATTATCGAATGCCTAGAACATGATTGAAATGATTTTGGGAGAAAATGTACGAAAATGGAAGCAGGAAAACATGGTAGATTGATTGCCATGCATGGTCATGCCATGTAGGCAGTGCACGCGGGTACTGCCCAAACACACCCAAGTGTTGGGGTAGCACCCCCTAACATGCTGTGGGCACACAACGAGCTACGCCCACACGCACAGGCTCTGCCAGGTGTCTATGCATGCTAAGGTAGACTTAACAAGTACGACGCGCGTGTGCATCACTCTGCTAGGTGTTGTATGGCGAAAGAGTCCGCGCGAGGGCACTCTGTGCCATGTGAGCGCACATGGGCATGTTGTGTCGCGCAAGTGTGTGCTTGCATGTTGTGCCACGCGAGTGCATCCGGGCATGTTGTGTCACACGAGCGCGCGCAGGCATGCTGTGTCGCGTGAGTGTCTACTTGCACATTGTGCCACAAGTACACCCCATGGCATGCTGTGATGAGTGAAGTAAGGATATGCCTCACTCACAAGGGCTTGCTCTGACATGCCTGAGTTCTAGGATAGCTTGTTTTGGGCAAGCTGGAATCTGCAGCACGCCTTTGCTCTACGATTTTACTATGCACACCTGCATGCCGAAAGGGTCGTGCAGTTGGCCTTTTCCTCGCCTAGTTAGTGAGTGCAAAGAAGATTTTCCCTTGTGGGCTTATATCTAAACATGGGCCCTAATGGGCCAAGTCTATTTGAAGGGCTTCAAGGAGCCCAGAAAAGGGTTAATGAGCCTTGATTGAACTTGGGTTTGTTAATGGGCTTTATGGAGCTCAGAGTTTTGTACTAGGCTTTGGAAGGGTCCAGGTTTTATTTGGTGGGTCTTAATGGGCTATCATAGGTTTTATAGGCCCCAATCGGCCAAGAACTAGTCTAATGGGCCTTGTTGGGTCTAGTTTGTTTAATGTGCCTAATTGGCCAAAGAATATTTGAAAAGTACTTTAGTGAGCCAATTTGCTGAATAGTAAAACTAATATGATTATTAGTAAATGGATGAGAGACTTTGGGAATAGCTTCAGGAACAATCAGGTGTTTTGATGAAAACATAAATCAACAAAAAAGTCCTAAATCCGTTTAACTGTTATCATGGAGGGGTTATTGTTATCTGTCTACTTACTGATTATAGGGGTCACAGTGGCAAATTATTGACGTAATCATAGAATATTATTGATATACTATATTATAAATTGAACTGTTTCCCCATTAACAACGGTAGTTGGTAATTCTCTCTACTCTCCGTTGATATAGGTCTAAATGGATTAGCATGAAGACTTGTAAACTGTGAAAATCAAATTGAGTCCAAATAATTAGAATAGATAAAACTAGAAAAGATTGTATAAATTGTCATGTTGTGGGCCGGTTGTGATTTCTTTGAACTATCTAATTATTATTGTATTGGACTTCACGATTAGGGACGATATTTGAAATGCTAATTTAAGTGAATTTAAACTAAGAATTTTTACTATGAAACTTTCAGCAGTCTTTATTGTGCAAGTTAGTGTTTGAAATGGTAAAAATATGTTTCATTGATTATAATTAATGAACCTATAAAACGTTAATAATATTGACTTTATACTGCTTTTCCTTACTGAGTTTCATGGAACTCACTTTAATCCATCCCCCTAAATGATGTAGAAGAAGATGATCTACCCCTTGACCTGCCCCTTGATGCTTACTTGGATCCATTTGTTGATCCTTAGATGATGAGTGAAAAAAAGTGTTGTACTCTTAGAGGCAATTATTTTATAATTTACAGGAGTAACTTAAACAATATTTGTAAATTCTAATAGCTATATTCAATGCCTTAGAAATATACTTATATTTTATAAGGGATAAATGTAACTTGTAGTTATATATTTAAATTCACTGCAATCATATCTACTATGTATTGGCCATCGCTGCCCACCAGGAAGGAGGATGTCACAACCCTGCCTTGTACTCAAAACAGTTTGCCTTATTAGCTATAGATTTTGATCTGGCATTTGTCTGTGCTCTTCCCATACTCACTAAGCTTCCCCTTTTGTCTATACTCTTGAAAGTTA